TCAAAACAAACTTTAGTTCACTGAACGGCTATGTTGCCAGTGAAATTTAATCCATATCCAGTTCGCTGAAATGCTGAGAATACTGATTACGAATGTTGTTGTTGTTTTTTGTTGTAATAAGGTTTGAAGACTACGCCAACTTTTCATTTTTCCACGAAATCAAGATTAATCTGAAACTGCATTTGTTTGCTTGACCTTCAGCAGCTTGAATGTTTTCAATCCCAAAAAAGGCTCACATAGTTTTTGTCAGAAAAGCTTTAGGGAAGGTTTTCGTTTTGCAGATAAATAAACGGGTAATCCAAGTAGAGGTACTACTTTTATTAACTTTTTTGGACAGATTACGCGTGATTCGTGTCAAGCCTTCGTATTATTTTAGTTCAGAATTGTTTTGCATTTCATCATTGAAAGACTTACGCCTCAACAACTTTTGCAAATCGTTCACTATAATTGAAGTTTCCGTGCTTTTTCTTGAAAAACGTTGGCAACCTCATAACTCACAGAATAGCATTATCGCACAAAGTTTGGCATCATATATAGTATGTTATAGAGAATGCTGAGATACTATTTCTATCTAAAATAATTGTGAAACAGCAATTGAACTTATCGTGCTCATAATTGATACAATGCACTATAGTAGATCATCATGTAATTTTTCGATTTTTAACCCCTTTAATAGATATTCTCCTTTAAGTAAATTCGATCTGAACATTAATTTCTCATTTGTACTGATATCGGAAGTAACGACAAGTAAACAGCTTAATAAAAGAAAGATGTCTGCAAAATTTCAGATCCTTATCTCAAAAGTTAAGTAAAGCGACTATTAAGTAAGTGTTAGCAGAAAGCGCAATTAAGCATGTGATTATATCCAAGCGCCCATCATCCAAACATTTTTTTTTTGAAAAACGGCGACTGTCTGAAAATAAAAATCATTATTTACGCTTTTTTTTTTTTTGAAATTCCTGAATTTTTTTAAAGTATTAAAAACAAAAATTTTGACACAATGCTGATAGGAACGATAGGATAGGATTATATAAAGAAGGTTCAAACAAAATTTCAAGTAAATCGGTTGTATAGAACTTGATATAATGCCGGTACCGTGTTGAACAAAGGAGTTTTAAGAAAAGTGCGTTTAAAAAAGTGAGTCAAATTTCAGGCAGTCAAAGTCATTTATTAGTGCGCTAGGTACTGCGTCACTAAAGTAACTGTAGCTCTTAAAATAATTTTAATTTTTTGAAGGATATGTTTTTAAGGGTCTAAACTTCAAATAAATGGAAAAAATCGAATTTTTCAAAATTCTAGAGTAGAATATCCCCTTATAACAATCTTTATAATAATAAAATCAAATTCATAAAAATTTGACTATTTCTGGACAATAAAGCTATCACAACATATATTTTACATACTCTACAGCTCTACTTTAATACATATTTAACGGTGTTTTTCAAACGAAGCTTATTGTGGAGCAGAGATTAAAAGGATCTCGCAGCAGTTACTGGTACTTTCTATATTACATAAGTATACTCAATTACGCCTTGATTTGGTAGGGAAACTTGAGCAAAAATTTTAGAATTTTCTATGCTATTTTCAACAAACTTTCTGTTAGACCTTTTCAATTACTATTGTGACAACTTCATTGCTTCAAAGCATCACAATACTAAAGCTCATATTACGAAATTTCAAACGATTTTATTCATAGCAATTCAATGTTTAATTCAAGTGCCTCAAGTTGTTGAATAATTAATGTCCCTCATGGATCTTTCCCTTCAGATGTTGCGTGTTCCATAAAATAAAATATTTATACATAATAAAATGCTCATACCTTACAGCTATGTATGGGTACAATGTTGTCATTCTAACTGTTAACATCACGACATATAGCACAGAGTTAAGTATCGGTTCACACACGAAGATTTTTGTTGCCTAAACCGGCATTTGGAAACTTTGATAAGACGAGGAAAGGCCAAACAACTATGTGGCTAGTGTTTGAGCGTCACGCTTTGCGAGCTTAACTCAAGAGTTGTTTGTAAAATCTAAAACAAATCGAGGCTAGTAAAAGGTTAGCATAAAAATAATGGTTTTACTGATTTCTGTTCGTCTCGCTGCTTTCCGTTCAAGTTAAGACTTAGTTTTGATTTGGTATTCATTTCCGACAGGGTCATTATATTGCTGCCAGACAAGTATCGGGTGATTTTTTAAGAGCTTGATAACTTTTTWAAAAAAAAAAACGCATAAAATTTGCAAAATCTCATCGGTTCTTTATTTGAAACGTTAGATTGGTTCATGACATTTACTTTTTGAAGATAATTTCATTTAAATGTTGACCGCGGCTGCGTCTTAGGTGGTCCATTCGGAAAGTCCAATTTTGGGCAACTTTTTCGAGCATTTCGGCCGGAATAGCCCGAATTTCTTCGGAAATGTTGTCTTCCAAAGCTGGAATAGTTGCTGGCTTATTTCTGTAGACTTTAGACTTGACGTAGCCCCACAAAAAATAGTCTAAAGGCGTTAAATCGCATGATCTTGGTGGCCAACTTACGGGTCCATTTCTTGAGATGAATTGTTCTCCGAAGTTTTCCCTCAAAATGGCCATAGAATCGCGAGCTGTGTGGCATGTAGCGCCATCTTGTTGAAACCACATGTCAACCAAGTTCAGTTCTTCCATTTTTGGCAACAAAAAGTTTGTTAGCATCGAACGATAGCGATCGCCATTCACCGTAACGTTGCGTCCAACGGCATCTTTGAAAAAATACGGTCCAATGATTCCACCAGCGTATAAACCACACCAAACAGTGCATTTTTCGGGATGCATGGGCAGTTCTTGAACGGCTTCTGGTTGCTCTTCACCCCAAATGCGGCAATTTTGCTTATTTACGTAGCCATTCAACCAGAAATGAGCCTCATCGCTGAACAAAATTTGTCGATAAAACACATTTCGAACCGAACACTGATTTTGGTAATAAAATTCAATGATTTGCAAGCGTTGCTCGTTAGTAAGTCTATTCATGATGAAATGTCAAAGCATACTGAGCATCTTTCTCTTTGACACCATGTCTGATATCCCACGTGATCTGTCAAATACTAATGCATGAAAATCCTAACCTCAAAAAAATCACCCGATAAATTGCTACATTACCTGTGCGTGATGTTCGTTGTTCAGGCATTTACAATAAATTAAACATGTACTTGTTACTGTTGCTCCTGCGGCTATACTACAAATTAATATAATGGCCTTGAAATCAATTTGATGTCAAAACACCTAGTTTTAAAGAGAAATATATGTACATAAATACAGCATATTGTACTAATCGAATTTTGCTTATACTATACTACGTTTGGTGCATATGTGTGAGTAACGCCTTAAGCGGCCTAAGTACATTAGGTTAAAACTAAGAGATCGAAAATACATAGTAGAAGTAGAACTAATAAAATACAAACAAAGTTATAGAAATTTGTTAGAGTTTGAAAATGCTTTTTATTACTATTCTTTTATTTTTCTATTTTTTGTCAATTATTCGTTTCTCTCATATTTCCAATGTCCATTTTTTTACTTTCTGCTGCTGTTGCTTCTATAACAATGCACTTCTTTTAAATAGCTAGAAGTTTAAGTCGATATTTTCTCAATAAAGTGATTAAAAATCATATTTGATAAGGCCCTATTCTCAAATCTCTATTTGCTTATATCCAACCGGCCAAAGGTCACTGCGAACAGTAGCTTTATGCTGTAGTGGTTCGATCTGCATAATTTGTTCAAAGATTCAAAATTTCGTAAAGGAATTTTGTCAAATAAATATGTTTTCTATACCAGGGCATGATTTTGACCGTTCCTATGACAGCTGACAGGATAAACTAGCCGCTGCCTCAAAATTTGAAGGACTAGCTCGCGTATATACAGACGAGGACAAGGAACAAAAAACGAAGGAAATAACGACTACACCAAAAATAAATTTCAAAATGGTGTAGGGGATAAGTTGTTACCAAATATCTTAACTATGACTCGTTTTAGATAATATCTTCTTAAAAAACACCAAGATCCTCAACCTGTCTTCAAATACCCGATATGTGGAAAATGGAAAAAGTGGATCCACTAATGAAATCTGGTTCCGCAGGGTGGTGTCCTCTCCCTGCTGCTGTTTAACTTCTATACCTCGAAACTCCCTGAACTATCAGATTAAATTTTTATCACCTCATACGCTCATGATTGTACCACAATGACGTCGGGAAATAGTTTCGATGACAGATGCTCAAAAGTAAACAACTATCTCTTCGACCTTTCTCGTTGTAATAACCGTAAGATTTTAGGTGTGACACTCGACCGCGTGTGCTCCTTCACTCCTCACTAGACCGCGATTATTGCCAATGTAAACACCCGGAACAATATCCTCAAGTCTTTTACCGACAGCACATGGGGGAAAGACATACATAGAAACGTTGTTGGCAGTTTCTGCTAAGGTGTTTTCGTAAAAATGAACCAAGCAGGTGGTTGCAGCGAAACCGCCTTTTAGGAGCATCAAGTGGTCCTTCCTCAACTACGTCGTCGACGAGAGACAGGAGACAATGACTTTGGACGCTACTAACTACAGATATGCACTGACCGGCATTCACAGTGGAGCCATAAACACCTTCACCGACTTCCTCTCACTGAATGGCGTACTTGAAGTTAATCCTCCAACAATTGCTGACGACAACCTCAAGTTGTTGTGAAAATCGAAAGTGACCCTTGCGCAGCTTCATTGTGGATATTATAGCAGCTTAAACTCTTAATTATCTAGAGTCGAGTCCCCACATGACCCTAACCACCTCTTTGCGTGCCCACCTAATCCTACACATCTGACACCCCTCTCCCTATGGTCGGACGCCGTCGAAAGAGCACGTTTTCTGGGCTTACCGTTGGATGACCATAACTGACGGCTTATCTGAACTTTTCCACCCTAACGAAGACTAGATAACCGATACATCAACAACCAGAATTATTATTTTCAATATTATACTTTTTGATTTTATTAAGTTCAATACTGTTTTTTACATGCTTACGTATAAAAATGCATTTAGCTATTTCTTGTAAAAGAGAAAAAAGATTTGTTTACATTTCATTACACATTTGATTGTTCACCCTATGTTGGATGGCAGATTATATAAAAAATTTATATATATATTTACTAGCAAGATTTTGGCAACGCTTGTCAATTAACGGGATACAAAGTTGAGTTGAAAGATTTCTGCGCCATTACCCGGAAATGTGGCGAACACAACATCATCGAAGTCATTGGCGCCAAACTGCTCGAGCAAGTCTTGTGGCAGCAGCTTAAAGTAATTCGCTTTCAGCATTTCTATGTACCGCTTAGAGGATTCCAAAGAGTCACAGCAGGCGACCACGCAGCCACCCCAACTGAAATTTAACATAAAAAGCAGGAAAAAAATTATGCAGAATAAGTAAATTATGTAAATATGTATGCGTGTAAGTATGGGTGTGCTGTGTGTGGGTTATCTATTAGTAGTAATGACGCGGAAATAATAATCTTACCCGGCACCGGTGAGTCTAGCGCCCACCTCCGCCGCATCAGATAAGCTAATCAAACGATCCAGATCGGTGTGCGAACACTCGTAGAGCTCTTTAAGACTTTGGTGTGATTGACGCATCAATTCTGACAGCAGCGTAAATGGCTTTGTGGCATCATTGACACCATTACCGTTTGACTTCCCGCTCACGCCATTACAGATGTGTAGCGGTTTGGTGTGGTGGCGCTCGCATATTTCGCGAAATTTCGCCACACGCAGTGACTCTGTCAAATGATTAAGAAGAAGCGGAGATTAGCAATTACCTGCAATACATCCATTGTTTTCCCCTTGTCCCCTGCATTTGCACATACCTTGTATAACGTGTAGAGCGCGTTGCTTCAGTTTGAATTGTGTCATGTGCCGCGTATTGGCGGTGAGAAATTCCCTCTCGAATTCCTCGGCGTCGACCTCCAACTCGTCGGTACACAACTCTGCCCGTGTGTAAATATCCTTTGGCAGCCATTTCAACACTAGCTCTTCCAGTTCGCCGAGCGTGCAATGCAGCGCCTCTTGCAACTGCACAAAGCGCAACATGCCACGCCAATTGCTGAACTTCATATGCTTGGCAATAATGCGCGCAGCCAAGCGACATTCCACTACGCGTTCATTGAAATCCGACGAGGCGGCTTTGTTCTTTGCTGCCAAACTGTTTGCCACAATGAAGCACACACCAGCCGGCAACTGTATGGGTGTGGCATTCAGCTCCGGATGGAATTCAATGAATTGTGCGCAACCAGCTTTGGCCAGGTAGGCGATGGCCTGATCCATGCCACCGCCCTGTGTGCCAATGTAGCGTTCACAGCGTGCCGATCTGGCGGCCAACTGTTTGCGTTCCAATGGCAATTGGTGCACGTATGCCGTAGCCAATACAGCGGCGCTGACCAGTGCGCTGGAGCTGCTCAAACCCGAAGCTGGCGGTATGTTGCCGCTCAACGCGACGTGCATGCCGATGGGCCGCGTTAGTTCACCGTTGTTCGTTTGTTGGATTTGCTCATAGATTCCTTTCACACCACACAGATAGTAATTATACCATTTTGGTGCACCATTTTGCGGCAAATCAATGCTATGCGCGGGAGGTGTGAGAATGTTGCTTTGTAAGTGAATACTGAAAGTTGCGAAAATATTGCAGATATTCCTACCTGAGCGCACTCAAATCGCATTTGAAGTTTTCATAACGCTTTGTTTCCACATTGCGTAACTGTAGAAATGTATCTTCCTCATTGCGTCCAACCGCCAGCAGTATGCACTGATCAATAGCCATCGGTAAGACGGGGTAGCCGCAATAGTCCACATGCTCGCCGATTATGTTGACGCTGTAATTTTATTAAAGCAGAAAAATGCTTATTGAAGCCAAATGCAACTGAATTAAAGATTCTGATAAGTCAGCTGAAGTTGAAAAATATGTGCTAGATTTAATATGCTTTGTTTGACTTTATAATATCGAATCGAACGGAAATGGGTTATCCATTTCGAGGTTCCCTACTTTTTTAAAGAATAAACACAGAAACATCAAATTTAATGGTGAATGGTTATTATCACTGGAAGGAACACTCTTTGGCATTAATTTTTTGAAGATTATCTCTTTCATATGTTGGCCGCGGCTACGTCTCAGCTGGTCGATCCGTTGAGTTCAATTTTCGATGTCTCGTTCAAGCATTTCGACTGGTAACCTTACTTTGCATATCTCCATATGAAAAAGTCTAACAGTGCGATGTCAGACGATCTTGGTGGCCAATCGACCGGCCCAAAACATGAAATTATATGCTTTCCGAAGTTGGGTTAAGATCTCGACGTAAAATATGCCAAGTCGTTCCATACGTCAGTCCGAGTTGCTGCGAACTGCTGGTTTTTGGTTTTAAAGGAAATCCATCACGAATTTCCCTCACTCTCTTTAAAAACAGATCAGTACATGGTGTTACTAGGACTAACCCATATGATTTTTAGTTAGCCCTTACCTCAAAAGGTTCGTGTCATATAAATTTGATAACTATTGGATCAATACTTTGGAAATTACAGCAATTTGGATGAAGCAACTTGAGTTAGTTTATAAAAAAAAGAATCAAAAGGAATTTCGTGTGGTTTGGTTGTTAATAAACAGCCGTTGAAAAGGTGTTTGTTAAGTTCGAAAGAGGCGAAATAAGCACCGGGGGCGATGAAGGCAGTGGACGTCCTAAAGAGGTTGTTACCGACGAAAATATCAAACAAGTGTACAAAATAATTTGGATGACCAAAAAGTGAAGTTGTTCGGAATAGCAGGCACTCTAAAGATATCAAATGAAGGTCCGTGCATCATGTGCACGAGTTGATGATTCGGAGCATTGTTTGAAGGTCATCAAGCGTAATAAATGCGAGTTTTTGTGCGACATGTGACAATGGATGAAAAATGGCTCCATCACTTCGTTTCTAAGTCTAATCGACAACTGTTCGAGTGTATTGCATGCGAAGAATCCGCTACAAAGTGTGGAAAAACGCAACAGTCCGCTGATAAGAAAGCACCATCAACAGCAACTATTACATAGCGTTATTGAATCGTTTGAAGGACGAAATCACCGAAAACAGTCGCATTTGACGAAAACGAATGTACTCATTTACAAAAGCAATCCAACGTGTTACAAATCAGTGAAAACGATCGCAAAAATCCAAGAATCGGGCTTCGAATGGCATCCACATACACCGTATTCTCCAGATCTGACCTCCAGTAACTATTTTTCTCAAAATAATGCTGGGAAGAAATTTTCGTCGAAAGGTGATTTAGCCCTGAACTCTAACGCAGAATAACTCTTGCCAACAGGTACTACTTTGAATTGAGTAAGCAATTGAAAAGTAAACTCCTCTCTCGACGAACAAAGACCCAACTGTACAAGTCCCTCATCATTGACGTCCTGCTGTATGGTGCGGAGGCCTGAACAATGATACATCTGATAAGTCAGCTTAGGAGTGTTCGAAATAAAGGTTTTGCGGAAGATTTATGATTCATACCGTTTTGGCAACGGCGAGTCTGAAGACGAAAAAAAATGAGTTGTACGAGGCATATAGCGATATAGTTCACAGAATCCAGAAACAGTGGCTGCCTTGCCTAGGTGATGTTTTCCGGATGGTAGAGAACACTCCAGATATGAAGGTTTTCGATTTAGAAGCAGATCAGGTAGAGAAAGACTTGGCTACACTTTGTATCTCGAATGGGCCCCAAATAGTGTCTACAACTGCAAAGAAGAGGTGATAGCCGAAACTGAATACTACATTAACCAAAGGACAAATTTTACTACAAAAATGATTTCGAAAAGTTGAAAGATCGCTATAACTAGTGTAACATCCTTGAAGGTTGCATAAAAAAACGAATTTCGCCAAAAAAATTAGCTTTACTATGTTAGGCCTGGGCCTTTTTAGTTGACCTTTTGGATTTAATATTACAATTTTCTATACTAAATAGTTCATTTTGTGCCGAATATAACGGCCAATGTATGATTTGGTTAGACATATGTTCTGAAGCATGCTCTAAGTTTATGCCAAAAATAAATGAAATCAGTTCTGATTTTTCCTTAGTCCCAAAAATCCATTTTACTAATTTCGACTTTCTAGTGGGCTTTTAAAAACTTCGACGGAGCTAAAATATTAGTAAAAATCTACAGTTTTTGAGATAGCGACATTCGTACTAAACAAGAAACCATCATTGTTTTATCTTTCAGATGACCACAAGGGTAGAATGGCGAGGACGCGATCTCCTTTCCTTCTTTACTTTAAGGACACATAACTCAATGAAAAATTAATTTATTTTTTTTTTTTAATTAATTTTTTGTACTTTTTTAATATAAGTAAACAAAATGATAAAAAATGGATAGAAAAAATACCAAATCCTTTTATTTATCAATTGACAGTAAACGTAAAATACGTGCCTATATTCTAGAATACCCCCTTAATCCGAGAATTTTGTCCGTGTATTAAATCATATTCACTACTACCAATACACTACCTACCGTCCAGGCATGCGAACGAAGAATTCCGGTTCACCACCGAACTGATGGCGATAAAAATCGTAAAGCTCGCGTAAGCGTGCGTAAAGTCTATGCTCTGTATGAAGCTCTAACTGTGACATAGAGATGGCGCTCTCCGCACTTGCTGCCATTATTATAAGATTTCTGCGGTAAACCGGACTGCTGCACTGCACTTGTTCAATTATGTGGATGTATAGTATAAGCGGTTGTTGTTTATTTATTTGCACGGCTTTTGTTTTGATTACCGCTACAACAAATTTCACTTAAGCACAATAGCGATGACAACTTGTATAATTGAGCGAATTGAGCGAATCTAAACGGGAATAAACGCACATACTTAGATGCTGAGAATTCGCGCGACAATAAATCAAGAATTTGCACACAAAAGAGTGAATGAACCGGCGGCGGAGGCAGAGGTGGCGCGAACGATGCAAAACGCTGCGACAATCGACGAACGCGCACAAAAGCCTAGTGATAAGAAGCGTCCGCGAAGGCAACGTCCAATAACAATAACAATTGGGCTAAACTGTTGATTAGCCTCGTCTGTGCTCGTTTTGCGTGTTGCTATTGTTTTATAACAAAGTTCACAAGTTAAAGCACATTTAATTATTTTCATTAAACTTTTATCACTGCTCGAAAAAAATTCATTAAACTGCAGCAGGTTGGTTAGCGATGTTTTGCACGAGGAAATGCCAGAATCAAACAAAGAAAGCAATAAAGTTGATTCAAGTGAAAAATTATTATGAATGTAGCTCAACATGCGTTCTAGGAGAGAGTATTCATTCACTCACGAAAGTGGGTGCGGGAAAAGTGAGAAAATGGATTTGCGCGCGCCGCACAGTGGGTTAGTTGTTTGATAAGAAGCAATAAAAAATAATTCTATTTTATTTATAGTGTATTTAACTGCATACTTAATATTTAACGTATTTTGGTTTCGAGTATTATCACCTGAGTGATTTTAATGAATTTCACTTAGTTGAGCTCTTTAGACATTTTTTTTTTATCGCAAATGGCCCTTCTAGACATAAACTAATTTTAAGCTAGCAAGGCAAGGGAGTTTGTGAATCAATATATAAGTTCCTACTCATTGCTAATATTCATACAACTGTTTCATACCGTATATCAATCGATCCGCTTGTTTTGGTATTTATATTTAGATGACATCATTGATAAAATCAATTTACTAAGCAGTTCTCCAAGAATTGGATTTTAAAATTTTTTATATCTTGGATATGATATACTAAGCTCTCCAAGGAGTTTTTAACACCCAGTGGGATATGTCGGAGTATTCATATATAAATTACTAACGTGACGAGCTGATTCGACCTAGCCATGTTCGCATTCAAATATCAATCTGAAAATTTTTAATGCCCTTTTCTCTACATGGACTTGCTCACTAATATTGGTGTTCTACAGCTCATAGATTTCATACAAACTGATCGATTAAACTCAAGTCCTTGTATGGAAAACTTTTTTATTCGACAACGGGTATGAAACGCTGTTTTGCTCGACTTGTCCCAATAAAGCTGATTGTTTGCAAAAAGTTGCCGTAAACAGGTCGCTTTGGATAAGCTTGATCGTGCGAATTCCGATCCCACATTCATGGAGCTGGTAGAGCCGAAGTTAAGGTTTTTTCATGTTTTACTCTGATTCTGACATCCTTTTATTTATTTGAAAAATGGACTGAAATGGTTTAGACTCAACTCACAAAACTTTTACAAGGTGGTAATGCAGTCATGTAGATTTATTTGGAAATAACGTCAATGAAAAAGGCTTTTCAAAAACTGCACAGGTTGGGAAATAGCTCAATGTTAACCCATATACATATTCTTGCTCAAAGATATGTTAGGTTAGGTGTTCCAACTTAGAGATTAGCAAAACCCTACGTGTCACTTAGAAGAAAAATATAGATAGTCGGCTTTGGCGACGAAGCGGATACGATCTGCCGCAGAAATAACATCTTCCGCTTTATTGTTTTCAAGTTTTCTTCAATCACAGGGTTAAAGTGATTAAGTAGATACCCCTAAAGTCTAACTAATCCAAGGCATCATTTGGACTCGGTTGCATTTAAATCAATTATGTATGGTACCTACATATGTATGTACATTAAGACTAACAATAAATAATTGAACATGAGCCGACTAAGTTTTGCTAAGCTATGCAATACTTGATCGTAAACATTTTTGTTTTCATAAAAAAAAATGGAAATTTAGCTGTACTTGTCACGTAAGTATTTATATTTTTTGACACGTTTGTGTTTAAAGTATATATTTTTTAATAGCTGGTAGTAAAACACTTGTGTATATACCACGATATATACTAAACAGCCTACAGTGAGGCCTGCAACCGCTCTGCCACCTCCACAACACAGCCGCACGCCGATTCATAGAAAAAAAAATAAATAAATAAATAAACAATGTAAAACAATCTAAAACAATTATGGCACTTTTTAAGATAACACACTTTTTTGGCGAGCATTTATGACAGATCAGCGCTAATTAAATAATCAGAGTAGACGCTGAGTTATTTGTTTTTTATAAATAATATATATTTTGTGTTTATTCCGCTGGTGCACAGCCACGACGACGACTTGAAAACAACTGACTTTTTTAATAAAACATCTCGCGCATTTCTGCTTACATTTTTCTTACGATTCCGCCGTCTTATCAGTTGGTGCAACCGCTTGTAGGCCATATCAGCATTTTATCTAAATTTGACGCTTTATTATTGTTATGCTATTCGTATATACATATGTATGTGTGTATGTAAATTGGTCTCATATATACATACATGTTTATTTGTATATGTATAACTCATCAATCGGTCTAAATATCAGAAACCGGTTGATTTTTGATTTGAAATTTAAAACACTGAATTTGTCATCACCTTCGACTTCCGCTGAGCGCCAGTTTTTAATAGATTCATTCAAACGAAGCCAAACATTAAATACACTAACTACACACAAAAGTATTTCTATCTGCTAGGCGATAAATGCATATGAGAGCTACTTTTATACATATCTGTATGTATTATGTATTATGTAAGTAAAGTTAATTCCCTCTTGTGTCTTTATAAATGTGTCTAATTCTTCTGAAAAAGATCAGCTTTCTTATAATATACAAGACAAAAACTTGCTTCCAATTGTCAGTTTGCATGGTGACTATATGTTATAGTGGTCCGATGGCAGCGGTTCCAACAAATGAGCAGCATCTTCGGGGGAAAAGGACGTAAGCAAAAAAATTTCAAGTCAAAAACTTGGTGAGTAGTTCGCATATATACAAATAGACGGACGACTCAGTTCATCACGCTGATAATTATATGTACAAATTTTATATAGTCTCCCATGTTTTTTTATATGTATAATACAAACCAGATATATCCTGTTCAGGGTATAATTAGTCTCGTTAAATAATGTTTATGAATAGTAAATTATGAGACGAGCAGGTTCTAGTATATAATTAAAACTCACCCACAGAGCACGCTAAATGCAAATTACCAAAAGAAATTTACTAAGATTGATTCAGCTACATCTAGCGGTCAATTCTTAAGAAATAGTAAAACTCAGCCTGAGGGTATGCAACATATTTTAATATTCTGAAATAACTATCATGCGATTGTCAAGTGATAGAGAAAATGCGCGATAATCGCTGATATTTAAATGATTTTATATTTAAAAATCATATCACTTGATTTTTTACGATTTTTAAACAAATTATTAAAAATAGTTATTATTGATAGTTATAATGCAAATTAAATGAATTTGTTCCAAGTATGTGCATGTGTGAGTGCAAGACATCTTATTAGCAATTGCATGCAAATGCATTTTTCGTCAACTGCATGCTTTCATATACATACATACATAAATACATACAATTTGTGTACTTTTGTATATGTGTATATGTACAGATAATATTATGTGGCCTTAGATGTGCCGGGCAGTTTATTGAGCGTGGGTTCTTGTGGGTTGTCTGTGTTTACACATAATGAGCTACAACTTGTTAACACAAATGCACAAAGTGCATTACCGTTATGTTGCGCATTTGTACGTCATGTCAGTAGGCGCTGTCCGTCCGCATGACTACAAGCGTCGGTACCAAAATGTCCGAAACTAACAAACACACACACACATCTTCACACACACATAGTTTGAAATTGCTGTAGGTGGTGCGATTCGGGTGTTGTTGCCTTCAAATAAATACACACGCACACAAACATATGAAGATGTATGCGAAAGTAAGTGTGTGTGTGTGTGTGTGTGTAGCAGCTCACAGGTGTGCGTAATGTGTAATTGATTTTCGACTTCGACATTTGTCTAGACTACAACAAAAGCTGAGCTTGAAACATGACTATGCCTACTCCGACTTGCAGCCATGTTTGTTATGTATGCGTGTGTGGGTGAGTATGCACATCGGTGTTGAAATTTAGCTTCGACGCCCTAAAGTGCTTTGACACTGTTTTACAATTGCAGTCACTTTGTTTGTCATTATTGTCAACTGGCATTGCTGCTTCTACTGTTGTTGTTGTTGGCAATAATACAACATTTTGTTGCTAATGATAATATTCTATGCTTTAGTTAACGCAATGGCCGTTTTTGTTGTTGTTGTTTGGCTGTTGCTCTGCTTGTTTGTCCCTTTGGTTGTGGCCATTGCATTGCTTGGCTTGTTTTCGGCCATGTCACTGACGCCTGAGCATGTCGTCCTGCTGTTCAACATGTTCCTGGACGTTGTACCTAACATGCAGCCACACGTACACGCATATATACATTGCCATGCATTTGTGTGTGCGTGTGTGTGGTAAGTTGTATTGTAGCCACATAATGTGAGACCGCATATTACCAAAAGTCACCTCAGAACATCGAACTGGCAGGTGCAAGGTGCAGCCGAAAATAGTCTCACACACAAGTTACTGCTGTTAACCGGTTACTAAGTTCCCACATATGCACATATGTATGTATGTACGTAGATATGGACATACCCAATATAATTTAAGCTATTATTTGTAAAGATTTTGATAAGAAGAAAGAAGGAAGGCTAATGATATAAAATCATTTTTCAAATCTATTTGGTTAATATATAGCTTAGGACAGATTGAAGTTTCACCTTTTTGACTATTTAATAAATAACGCGGTCATTAATAAATATAAAGACAGATCTTAGTATATGTATGGGTTAAATAGTGATCTGTAACCGGTAAAAATCTCTGCCCAGACGATACAAACCGAATAACATCCAGTTCCCGTTAATTTTTTTTTTGTATATATCAGTAAGGATAAGAGTATGATATAACGTCAGAAAAGTAAATAGAAACGCTAGACCTTGCGTATTGTTGAAATCAATATATTTCTTCAATAACGAGAAGGTCTGGGCCATCATTATATTCTCAGTCCGAGTTGCTGCAAACAGCGCTGAATTGACTCTCCTACGACTGCTATATTTTCTTCACTGCGTACTGGAAGTGCTCTATTCGGTTGAATATTATGCAATAATGGAAGCTGGGTCTCAAAATGGATGATGATGTTGCGAATAGTACGCTCAGTAGGCCGATTACCTTAACTATATGTTGCGCGAAACGAGCGATACTCATTTTTTACAAAACGTGAATTTCCGTAATAAAATTGAACGATTTTTAAACGTTATTCAGGGGTAAGTTCAAACAATACTGAACAATAATAACATGACAGTTTGACACGACAAAAAAAAAAGTAGGCTATTGCACAAATTCTATTTGGATGACCCTCTATATCATCAATATTACACCATGTTCCTGCGCCGTATCATAGTAAGAGAATAATGGGAGACTTATAGAGCGTAAGTTTCGTTTGTCGAGAGAGGGATCCGCTCCTCAATTGTCTAAGTGTACTTGTCGGTTGGTTTTATAGTAGACAGTGTCACTGTGTTTCAGATTACCGGTACCTTTTTCGAGGATTATATTCCACGAGAGGGAATTATCCGGCCTAAAACCTCGCCTTGTTAGACCGGGTTCTCCTTTAGCGGTTGCAGCATTGCTTTAGCTATTTATGTAGCTTTAGTTTCGAAGAATACTATGAGAGAAGGTTTTAAGAATAAAACCACACAAAAAAAAAAAAAAAAAAAAATACGATAAAATTTAGTTTGCAACGAATCTATTACTCCATCGATAGCATTTTTTACTTATCTTAATCTACAATGTTTAGGGTAAATTGGCATACATATCAATATTAATAATTTATGACTGCTTTTCCTTACTTTATTTATTTAATACGTCAAATGATATTGATTCTGCTTAATGAGCCTTGTACATCGCTCTTAATAGGCAGGAAAATATTTGCTTTAATTAGATAGATTAGGATAATAAAATTAGGATAAAATGGCCTTAGTACGTTATTCTTTTTGCCATCCTCTATTTCACTTATTACTATAAAAATATTATGATATTTGAGAATATTTTAATTTTCATGGTTTAAAGTGGTTCTTCCTCTTTATTGGCGTAGACACCGCTTACGCGGTTGTATCCGAATTTACAACAGCCAATACTATTTTGTCCTTCTCTAGGAGGAGTTTTTTACGTGGCGGGTCCCAAACCCAGCGCACAAGACTGGTGATACATAGTACTTTGTTTAAGACTGGAAATTCTGAGCTGCTTAAGCCATATGTAAAATAATCGTTTCTGGAAACTAACAAGTGAATGTCCCTCATTCAACAAAGTAGTTCCATTAAATTTTGTGAGTGGAATCAAATTTATGGTGCCAAAACGAGTTATGGAAAGGGCCTACAGTGAATATTGTTTGTTGCGAGCAAGTGTTTTTGATTTTTACAAATTATTAAAAGAGGGTCGAGAACACGTTGACGACGAACCATGTCCGATACGGATCAACTGATGATCAACACGTCAATAAAATAAAGGAATTGGTGCTTAAGAATCGACGATTAATAGTCAAAGATCTTACTGACATCGTTAGAATATCGGTAGAATCATTGAACACTATTTTGAAAGATCATTTTGTGATGTGAGATTTGCGCAAAATTTTCAACACATATCTTGAGGCAACAACTGCATCCGTCTGATTTAGCTTCTGGCTATTCAGCACGTTTTAGCATACTTCGTCCTAGGTCCTTCTAATAATGGATTTCTTTCTGTTCTTAGTTATTTTCTTGTCCGTCGAAGATATCAGTAAGAATAGTTGAAATAAATAACACACTGTTCGTGAAATGCTAAAAAATAAGAAAAATAACTGTAAAATGCTTAAATCTCATTCAACAAGATGCTTTTAATTAATATCCTCATGCTGAAATTTAAATTGCAATGCAAATATGTATGCATGTACTTGAAACTTAAGCTCAGCCACTTAACACCCGCTTGGAATTCCACGAATGGCAAACTTTGCAGCTTTTTTCCTTTTGTTTCTGCAAAGAGTCGACGCCTCACCTCCACCCCAACGGCATGCATTCATTTATGCTCGTTTCTATCTATGTGCATGCGTAGTAGTGTTCAAAATAACTCATACATGCAAATTCAGACATATCGACACACATGAGCTGTTATGCACTTCCATTCGTCTGCTTTACGACGGTTTTTGCTTTTGCTTTCGAGTAATTTTAATGAGT